AATAATACTATAATGTACCGTAATAATACTGTAATAAAAGATTAAAATTTAAGGGTTGCGGCATACCTTTTCAGGAAGTTTTCTAACCCAGAAACATCGTGCACATCAATAGATTCCAAGTCATCATTAATTTTATCTAACAGATTTACTAAGTCTTTGCTAATCAAAGTATTATCACAATTATCACATCTTAAGTAATATAAGAAATATATTAAATTATTAAATTTTTTTAACCAAGATACCCTTACATCCAGTCTGCATCTTGATTTAAAGGATCAGATGACCTTAGTGAACCCTTCTTGCATTTAGCACATATAATAGCACTACAATCTGTTCCCAACTCCATCGGATCGCTACAACGCTGGCAGAAACACCAAAAAAGCTTTCCAGCATGCATGAAGTCTCTCCGTTTCAAAGTTCCCTTATGATGTTTAAAATAAAACCAAATTCTATATAGATAGGTAATTTGAGCTGACCTGTAGTGTATATGCATAACTCAATGTAAGTGCTTCATCCTTTTGTACATGTCGCGAAGTGCGCAAAACGATTGCAAATGTGTTTGGATCATCTGTATGTGAAGTATTTGGACTGCAGTCGTGTGCAAGCAAAAATGCATTAGGGTAAAGAGTTCGGGCTTTGGCCGAATTTTGTCCAATTTCAAAACAATTCACATCTAAAATACCACAAACAGTGTGAATCTCATCCGCAGTATATGAGGCCATATGCCATTCATCGAGCAACTTAGTCACCACATTTTGTTGGTAATGTTGCCACAAGTCCGCATTCTGTTTACGCAGTTCCGAATGTGATTCCATGAGCATAATTTTTGCGTATTTCTCAGGAGAGTGCTGTTTCATCAGTAATATGCGCACAATCAAAATGAGTTCATACAAATTTTTGACTATTGTGGCGGATGTAGTAGCTGAGAGAGTCGTAGTATTTTTCTGCGCTTTTAATAAATCACATTCTTCGATGGTGTGACCAGTTGCCGCGTATAATCCTTTACATTTTACACTGCATAATGGCCAGCAGCAAGAAGTGCACCTGAGTAAGCATTAATTATTATTGCAACAATTTTTCATAATAGATTCCCAACTGATTTACCTATATTGTACACCATTTAGCTTGACTGGCTTGTAGCAGCCTAAACACACTGCATCAGAAGACACACAAGGCCCGATGGCCAAAGGTTCTTCGATTAGTAATAATTCTCCTGCCTTAAGTTCTCGACTTGCTACAAGATAACGTCCAACAATGTTTGAGTGTTCCAATTTATACGGTAATTGTATGTTTGTCGTTTCATAGTCCTCACTCTCTTTTCTAATATTTGAGGTTTCTTTTTTTGAACTGTTTGATTTGTTTACCTGCTGTTGTTGTCGTTGGTGATGACTCTTCTTGTTTTTCTAAGCAAAATTAACAAATATATATTAAAATTTTATTTCAAGCTCCTGCAAATAAATAGCACATAGTCAATTCCTGATCAATACAGCGCTTTATACGTATTCTATATAAAAATAGTACAGTTAATACAGACCATCTCATAGTCAGGGTCAATACCAATACAAATGGTGAAAACACATATATGCATGTATGAAAATACATGATTTAATAAAACTTTTCAATTAGTTCGTAGGAATACATTTTATTGTAGTTGTATGAGACCCCAGTTGTTCGAATCGTTAGTTGCAATTAACTAAAGACTAAAATAGCTAGTGGTAGAAATACAATAAGTTGCATATAAAAGTTTTGATTTATAAAACAACATTTCATAAATAATATTCAAATTTACCGTGCAGGCAGATACTTCTTGAACTAAGTAGATGTGTTAATCATTTATTAGGCACACTTCACATATGTACCGAAATTGAACAAAGGGAGGGAGAGAGAGAGGGAGAAAGACACAACAGGCTAATTATAGTACGCAACAAGTGGCATAGAGACGCTCGTAAAACGCAAGAATATTTCCGGGGGCGCGCAATGATATATTAAGATAAGTTTCTCAGAGGAGAACGTTTTGTAATGTTCGAAACGTTTATAGTAAATACCTGAAAAACGGAAAAATATTCTGTTGCTTTTTTCAAAATAAATTATAATAAGAAACATTGAGATGTTAGATTTTATATTTTTTTTAGCTTCTTCAGATTGAGGCATGTATCTAAATGTTTACATGTCACAATCAGAAGAATGTCTTCACAAAAATTTTTTGAATATTTGAATATAATTTACGTATTCATTAATTTGTTTAGTATGAAGAATTCATGATTTTTATTACTCAAAAGTTTTCATAGCCAAAGATATTTAAATAAATATCTACTTGAATCCGCTAATAATGTTTTCAGAATTTATATAGAAACCTGACAATAAACACACAAATTTTTTTTGCCATACTATCGTGACATATTTCCTTATCATTTCAAAATGTTTCACAGTTTGCAAAGTCATATGATGAAGAAACAATTTTACCGATTTTAAGAACAAAACGTGGTTTTAATAAATAAAATATATTTACATGTTTTCTGGGAGGCATTTTTGAAACTTTTAGAAATGTTCTCTGCACCACAAAATCAGTGTGATCTGTGCCACGAACCGACTGCAACTACTCGCGTACGATCTATGCCAGATGAGAAAACATTTTTCAATCTTTTAGAATCTAGTCCAATACTTGTGTGTATTTTTATTTATAAAAAATAAGCTGCTTTCTTTACTGACGATCAATTTCATTAGTGTGGGATCATATATTTGGGATATGCTCCGCTATCCAAATAATTCTTTCGAAAATTTGAGTGTGAATATTAAAGATTAAATATCATAGTGCATATTATTGCACATATTGGAATTATGTGTGGGGGACTATTTTTTATTTGGCAGCCAAGAGTGTCAGTGGTCGCGCTATTCTGTTGAGAATTATTCAATTCATTCCCAAAAAAATCAAATACTTGGTCGCTACCACTCCATGCGCCTCTGGAGAAAACTACCAGAAACTTTTAAGAAAGTATGCTACTAAAATAACAAATTCTAAATATTAATTGAAAATCATAAGAGTGCACGGATTAGTGTCCGATCTCAAAAAGCAGTGCATTTTATTTGTGGAGTCATCCAAGAGAACTATTGTTAGATATAGCTAAGTTTCACCAGTTCCAAATGGAAGTAACATTTGAGTGTTTAACATTCAATAACGTTTAATAACTTTGATTATTAATTTGAATGCATGGGTATTATTTTGTTTTATTATTATTTTCATTTAAGACCACTTTGTTAAAATATAATTTTCAGCTTCAATATATCTTTGAATTTCACGTAGAAAAAGTGGGCATTTTTCTTCACTATTGTCAATCAATTATCCTATTGTTTATGATATTAATCTAAAAAGAAAACAATAGAACAGACTATATAGTCCAAAGTCACCGAATGTATTATATATACAAATATATTGTATATGTACATCATTTCGATGAAGAAGGTCATATCGTGGTGAGACGTTGAGTTTGGGGAAGCATACGGTGAAATAGTCAAACAGAGTTGCATATTGTAACTTCAGCAATTAACTTTAATCAATACGTTGACACATATATTCTAACGACTTCTTTGACACCGTCCATGAAAGAGAAGATGGCACAACTTGCACAATGATTTGTTTTCAACAACGAAATATTGACAAATTGCTGCAAGCAGCGCTGGACGGCAAAAAAATACCCCACAACAGTTAAAAACTACAAGAACATATTTTAGAAGAGTGGAGAAATGTTTTTATTGATATGCCTTTTAATTGCTATTCATCAATTCAAAGCGAAATTCGAAACCACATTTAAGTTAAAGGATAATATTTAAAGGATGAAATGGTATTATATGAACTCACAATTGCTTTTTATTTTAAATATATTTCGATAATACAAATAATTGATATAAAGGAAAAAATTTAAGATATTTACCTTTAATTTCACATACTTTATTTGAAAAATATATTTTATTAATAAAAACATTTTCTTACTTTGGATTCTTGAAATTGAAATTGGTCTAGGTGAAAATCTTAAGGTGGTCTTAAATTTTTGTCCGCCACTGAATATGCCATGTATTCATTTTCTACTATAAATTTGACTGTAGCGAACATTATCAGTGGGCGATTGTTAATGTTGGCTGGTATAATATGTGCGCCCTTACAGTTATCGAAGCTCATTAGTACATTTTTATATAAACTTTGCGCGGGTTTTGTATATAGGTATGTATAATAAACAAAAAATGCTGATTATGGCGCATTTGTTCAGTTAACTGTCTAGTTTAGTTATTCACAGTTTCATTGTATGCAAGTAAATTGCACTTATGTTATCAAAACCTGGCTTTGACGGGATTATCCGAAATACCTTCTGAAATCCAGACTTTTATTCTTTCAAATATTTAAATCTATTAGTTTTAGTTATGTAATTTGTAAATACTCGTGCATCTCCAATTAACCAAATATCGACTTTAACAGATTTTTAAATTTTATAAGCAAGTTAAATCTGAAACTGAAATCAGGTTTAAGATGTAGCGTCATATATCTCCCAGTGAATAAACCAAAAATTAAAACTATATACCCGTATATTTGCTTCTATGTATAAACAACATAATTTTGTAAAAATCGCATAAAGGAAACGCATTTCCCTCTCCGCATCACTGCATCAATGCTTCACCGTATCAGGGGAACATTACAGTACCAACAGCCACAAATCCGTAAGAGCAAATGTAGAAGAAACATTGCACAAGACACAATAGCAGCAAAATAAATTGCGAACTGCAGTAATCTTCAAGTACTGTAAAGTATTTTATCTAGATACGAAATATGGGATGATATCCTTGAGGAGATATTTTGCAAACATTTCTCGGCAAGAGACTGAAGTGTTATTATGGGGGCGCTTATTAAAATAAAATTTATTGCTTGTTTGCTGATAAAATAGTGCTAAAAATGCAAGAATAAAAAATATGCACATAGAAGCTTCGAAACAATAGCAGGAAATGCACGTTGCCAACGGCGAAGTAACTTCCTAAAAAGAGAACACATTTAAGAATAGAAAAATGTGTTCAACAATGTTGTGAAACTCATTTAAAATGTTTCAAAGATTCAAACGTACTACAGTAAAAGGGGAAACGGAAAAATTAGTATTGAGCTGAAAAATTATTAAAATTTGAGGCGCTTTCACAAAGGGACATCTCATAAAAGCCATGACTTCTACTATCTCACTGAACAAATAGAGAAGTCAGCAATATCCTAACACAATTTGGACCTTATTTAACTTTACACAATGAAGTTCTTTATTCGATTATATCATTTATTTATCCCGTGTAGAATAAAACAATACACATTTTATATGGTTTGTTTTATCCCCTTTTTTCACTGACTTAGTTACAGCGGGCAAGAGAGAATTTACTATTAGATGCAAACAGTAACGAAAAAAAACTAATTACTCTTTTAGTTCTAAGCAATTTATATTGCATAAATATTTCAACTTGGTTAGATTCTCTTATAATACATCGGCGTAATTGAGTGGAACTTTTATACTTTTTACATCTCTCTTATAAAAAGAAGTTTTATATCTCTAAGCTCAGTTCTACCAAAATAAACGAGATTTCGAAACCATATGTACTGTATAAGACTTGCGTCAATTGCATTACCACCATAATCTGAATCGGAGTCTACCGCAAGCTACCGCACGTCTACTTGCACAATAATGTAAGTTTTTATTCAAGTCCAATGAGAAGTATCTCAAAACGGGCTTACTGTCAACATTATACTCTGCATATGAATCCGTTATTCGATATGATAGCTCTGCCATATAATGAATTATGCTAGGCGACGCTGTTAATATCAAATATGTTAACATGTCAATAAAAAATTGATAGCTTTTGCGGTTGACTATTGTGCATTTATTATTCTAACTAATAATTGAATCATCATCTATAAGGTGGTTGCTGGTCGACAAGTTTTTCTGCGTCAATCGAGGTGTATATCTTTTATGTATTGTATGTGGTCTATTGTAATCGCACCACTATCTTTATCGCATTAAATCCTTATATCTATATTAAGCTGTAGAGAACTTTTAATATACTGTTAAAATTAGAAGTATTTACTTCATCACAGGTTATTGTAGTTTTCAAACTATCGACATAAATAAAATTGCCCAATACAACAGCTGATAGAGACAGCAAGAACAACTAATAAAGAAAACATAGCTAAGAAGACAATAAATGTTGTAAAAATAACCTTCAATTTTCGAACTTTCGAATATACAAACTTTGTTTCATTAAAATTAAAAATGTCATGTAATTGAATAATCTAGTTATATTATGTTATATTTAATTTTATTATGTACTAAATTAGATCTAGATATCTTGCAAAATCATATTAAATTGTAAAAACAGAAAGAAGGCTAACAAAAGCAAAGATGCTCGGGGAAGCAGATATAACTCGCCGTCAAGTACTAAATCGAAAGTATGAAGCTTTAAATAAAGTCATTACAAAGAGGGCCAAAGAAGATAAAAAGAATTTCTATGATGCGCTAGCCTCTGAAGCGGAAAAAGCTGCTAATAATACTGACATGAAAACACTGTTCGCTGTTACGAGAACTTTAAGCGGACAAAAAAATAATGCACGCAATATTCCAGTAGAAGACGAAAATGGTGTTCTTGTAAATTTAAAACAAGAACAATTATTAGTTTGGAAAAAATATTTTGAAAGCACGCTTAACTCAGTATTTGCTACAACCGAGGATAATCTCACTTCTCAACGGCGCCATAACATCAACAGACAAATTAATACCGAACCACCCACAGTAATGGAAATAAGTAGTGCCATTTCATCTTTGAAGAAAGATAATTCGCCTAGCAGTGACGGTTTGGCGGTAGAGTGCTTTCAACTCGATCCACAACTTATGGCTACAAAACTTCTATCTATTTTCAACAAATTATGGCTCACTGAGTCCATAACGCTATCATGGAAAGAATCAGTAATTGTTAAAATTCTCAAAAAAGGAGATCAAAAGATATGCTCAAATTGGAGGGCATCTTACTTTTTCCTACCATAACAAAAATATTAAACAAAATTATCCTTGACAGAATCGCGGAGCACCTTGACAAACTCATAAGGAAAAATCAATCAGGTTTTTTGCCCAGCGAGTTCGTGCGTGGATCTGATTAATAAAATGCGAATAATTACAGAACAATCCACCGAATTGAACACCACACTTTACCTAGTGTTTGTGAATTTTTTAAAATAATTCGATTTGCTTGACAGAGAATAAATATGGATAGCGCTTAAAATAATAAATATAATCAAAGCACCTATGAAGGTACAACTTGCAAAGTCTTACATGGTGGTGAGCTCAGTGAAGCTTTCGTGTGCCGCACAGGAGTAAACCAAGGTTGCGCCTTGTCTCCGCTTTTATTTATAACAGTCTTGGACTTGGTATTTGAAGGTATAGAAACACATACGCTTGGTATAAACAGGGGGCTTAGAGGTAGACTAGCTAGACTAGACTAGTAGCAGCACCGATATTACAGATATGGCCAGGTTTGAATACCTCGGCAGCCTAATTTCTGGAGATGGAGGAACATCGGCAGACGTCGACTGTAAGATACGCAAGGCGCGCTCCGCGTTCGGCGGACTCAAATCGATCTGGAAGTCTACAATCATTACGCGACAAACAAAATTAAAAATATCAAAAAGGATATCAACAAGCCCAAATATGGATGGATTGACCATACGTTCAGGAAGAACTCAAACGAAACACCTCACGCAGCGTTAGAGTGAAACCCACAGGACCGGCGAAGAAGAGGTAGGCCGAAAAATACTTGGCGCAGAACTGTCACAAGCGAAACAAGGAAATCTTTTAGCGAACTTAGAGTAATAGCTCGGCATAGTAATAACTGGAAAGCATTTGTAAATTCTATAATATAAATTTGATCTACATAAAATGTTCTTTGTAATTAGACTAAATTTATAATTTGGTAAAATATAAATATGTCCTAATAATAATAATAATATAAAATATAATTCCAAATTTAGTGAAAAATCCAAAGTTAAAAGTATTAAGAAAGATAGTAGTAGTAGTATTTTTTATTAATAAATTATAAACAAACAATAATTATCCAAACATTATACATTATTTATTTAAAGCTATGAACTAAAGTCGTCAGCTTTCCCTAGCGATTGCCTACTCATTTTACCCTTTTAATATTGTATACGAGTTTGATTTCATAATTAATAAATATTATTGTTATATACAACGCGGTTAAAAGCTCTCATCTATAATTTGTTGTCTACATTTTAAGGCTTGGTTAAGATATGCGTACAATCAATCAAATGCCATAAATGTGCATTTCTGTTTGGCTTAAGGTTGTTTTTCTAAAATAACTGCATCTTATTTCCTTTAAAATTTGAGACACCTCTATAAAGTGGTTAACCGTTTTCGTTTCCTGTTTATTGTGTAGCCTAGAAACCGATAGAGCAGAACTTACATAAGGTAAGTAATTGAGTTTGATGAATTCGGTACGAAATTTAAACACTGTACTAATATTTTCCACTGTATATTTATCATTAAAATAAATTGATGTCTTCAGATTGTAAGTTAGTTCTCTGTTTGCCTAGAGCAGCTTGTTATATGGTAAATAGTTCAGTCTAGCAAGTCAATCCAACTATCCATGTCTTCTGAATACAGATCTTCTTCATCTCCCTCGGCTGAACTTAACCATGCAGTAAAAAACGAACTCCTTCTACCTAAAAAGAATGTCGCAAGCCGTTTAATGAGTTTGACTTCTAGTTGGTTATAACAGCGTTAATATTTTGAAAGTGGGATTTTAGAGTGCCTTTATGTAGTGCTGATAAGTTAGTTTCCATGTAAATTGCATAGTCTGGCGTGTTGACCGATAGACGAAAAAAACGTTTAATAATAAAATTTAGCAGTTTTTCCACCCCATCATACCTCTCGAAACTCCAAATTTACATAATTCAGCATAATTCATAATGGAGTTGACTGCAACTTGGAAAACTTTGTATTTAACTGATAATACTACCGTGTCATTTCATAAAGCTCTTGTCCATGTGCTGTTTATTGCTAGTTTTGATTCTTTTAGTCTTTTATTAATATATGTTTCAAAAGTTGCATTATATGATATCCAAACGATTAAATACCTATGTGACTTAATTATTTCCAATTGTTCTCCATTGAGATACAATTTTTTAACGTAATGAAGACGCCTTGCATGTTTTTTATATACTATTTTTGACTTTGGTATAAATTCTAAATTTTGGACCTCATTTTGTTTGCTGCTGTTTAGTAATTGCTCAATGTGCTTAGTAAGTTCTAGTGCGTCTAGCTCTTCAAATTTTATATGACTTGTCCCATTCAATTTTCAAACTTTGCTCCAAAAGGATATAATATCTTTTCCTGTTTCTATTGACATAGCTAGCGTATTATAGTGCGTCCCTCTTTTACGTTGTAGAAGTTCTTTGAATCGTTTTTTTGCTTGACTGTAGTTTATCAGATTTTCATTCAATCCTGTTTTTGTTAATTGTACTTAGCAGTTGAAATGATGTATATCTTAACAATTTACCTTCAAACCATTGTTTTTATTTCATCACAGTCCTTTGTTTCTGCTGCAGAGGCTTTACTGTAATTTATACAATCCATCAAAATCTCAATTTCCTCCTATAATTTGTTGATTAATTGTTGAATTATATGTTTTCTCAATACTTTTGTTCCAGTATAGTTTAGGTAGCAACTGCATTTTCATCAGATAAAACTTTCACGACGTGGACACATTTCTAGAAAGGCAAAGTGCCGTAATAGTGATACAGGGTGTTAACTCCCCCCTGCCTAAGATGAATCGTCCCGATTCATGAAATTTGAAATTTGTTAATTCAAGGCATTGATGACAATGTCTTGATCCTTATCAATTGTAGGCGTAGTTGGATTGTTTTTAAAAAATTATTAGCATTTATAACTAATATATATAATAATCAATATTATTACAATTAATAATGTTGTTAAAGAGGTGGGGCTTTCATTATAATCATTTCTTAATATATTAATTAAATGTCTGTTATTTAATTTAATTTCTTTTTCACTTGAATCAATGTATTCAGTGACATTAAAACTGTTAAAGTAGTGCTTCAGAATATACAAATTTGTTTTATTTTCTCTATTTTTCATAGATTACATTATCTTTGTTAATTGTTTCGTTAAAAGTTACTAAATATGTTCCGGAAATATTATTATTATTTACAGAATGATTTCCGGTAAGAAGTATTGCCCCCTCTGTAATTATATCTACATTTTTATTTGTTTCTTCTGATTTTTTACAATTGGTTTGCCTTCTATATAAAATATCCGAAAGGTAATTATTTTTATTATTAATTTTACAATATACATTTTTTAATTCTACCTTACAATCGTCAATACTATAATAGATATTTTGACATTTAATTATTTCATTTGGGATAATTAATTTTCTATCAAACTGGAATATGAGCCTTGTTTCGAAAAGATCACATCTATCGGTTATCAGAGGATATTTGATGTATATTATTATTAATGTATTTCTTTGTAAAACTTTGAAAGTAGAGACGTCCAGCAAATCGATTATAGAAATTTATTTGTATTCGTGTTGATGTATATTTTTAATTTCTTCAAGGTGTAACACGGATGGATATAAAATGGTTGCTTTTGCTAAAGCTATTGTCTGGATAGTATTTTGTAATTCAGTTATGACTTTTAGTCTGTGTCTGCGCACAACTTTTTGATATACGTGTCCAGTTAAAGTGTCCACTGTTTGGGTTAACCTTAGAATTGTTTTGAACAACTCTGAATTCGTAGAATATTGTTTATTGTTATTTTTAATTAGGTCATTTATTTTACTTGTTATTTGTGAATAAGGTATCCAGACGATATCTAATTCATTTATTCCTCTTTTGAATCTTTTATTTTCGAGTTGACTAAGTAAAGTTTCTACTAGTTCTATTTCCATTTCTATATCAAGGAATTCTGCTTGGTTGTAAGAATGTTTTTTCTTTTCAATTTCGAAAAATTGTTTTTCGTCACGTAGTAAGTCTCTATAATAGGTTTAGTTAGTAACGTGTAGAATGTCATTATAATTTTAGTATGTCAAGGCGTCATTGTTTTTTATTAAAATGTAATTATCCCTAGTGTAGTCTATTATTTCTCCATTTACTGACAATATCAGTTTGATCAAGCATATGATTTTAACATTCGTGCTTGTGCCATTTTCAATTTCTCATGAATTTGTTCATAATTGACTTTGTTAAAGAAAACGCCACTTAGTTTTTCTTTAGTGATTGTGTGGATAGTTTTGTTATATTATTGGGCAGATCTCAATATGACTTCTAAGTCATTTACAAGATTATATTCTTGTTTAATACATCTACCAATCTCAACAATTGTTGAGTGAACTCTTTCCACTTGACCGTTTGTTATATTGTGACGAGGGTCACAGTAGTAAAGAGCTTGGTTCATTATCCAGAGCAATATATTTAGCCTCTGGGAATGTTTGTAATATTTCTAGAATTTTGTCATCTAGATTAAATTTATACTCTATGGTTTTTATAAACTTTGAGTACGAGTCCAAGCACGTAATAAATTTTAATTTTTGAGCATAGAATATATCAATGTATAGGTTTTCTCTTACATTTGTTGGAATTGGAGCTTCTTTGATAGGTATCTTCTGTGAATGTCTATCATATTTATTAGTATTACATCTCACACAGTTTCTATCATATTCTCGTAATTGTTTAAACAGTTCAGGCCAATAGTACAATGCAGTTATTTGTTTAATATTCTCATCATAACTACGATGAGCTCTAATGTGTGTTTGTTCTGTTATAATACTTTGGTCATCCCTATTTGGGGTATCAATAGGGAAGTGTTTCGTATGCAAATTTTGTTACTAAAAGTTTGTTTTATCATAACCTATATTTCATATAGGTCTTCAGGAGTACAATATTAATTGTTGTTTAAACATGTTTAGTGGCTTTTTAGTTTCCTCAATGTAAACGTTGTCGCTACTAGGAGCTGAATGTTGACTAGTGTTGTCGACATCATCATTATCGCTTATGGATTCATCCGTCAGATTGTGTAACTCAATCCTTGATAAAGCATCTGCCACTACGTTGGTGTGTTCTTGCTTATAAATGATTTTCGGAGAAAACTCTTTGATAAAAGCATGCCACCTCTTCATTTTAGAATTTGGGTTACGATTTGAAATCGCAAACGATAGTGGTTGGTAATCCTTGTGGATCTCTAGATTGGTTATGCATTTAAGGTTGTGAGGCTTTCAGACAAGACGTATAATCTACTCATCAAAGACAAACCGGTGCGGGTGAGTAAAGGCACCATTTCTATCAAAGAACTATGAAGACGTAGGCCTATCACGTACAGAAACTATGGCAGATAATCGAATTGATACCAAACCTAATAATGTAACACAAATGGGACGATTAGTGCAGGTTCCAAAAAGATACGTTAAATTTGACTAAACGTGACATCGTGCCTGTCTCAGTCACTGCCAGGGGAGTATATGTGATTATGATTATGTAATTATTCTACCCGAAATTGAATTATTTTAAGTAAACAAATAAACAATTGAATAAAGTAGGGCAAAGCCTACTGCGTTGAGCGGAAAAAATTGTGTTGGTTTTGTTTTTTACTTTAATTTTGCAGTAATTATAATATTTGTTTTAAATTTTTTTAATTTTTCTATATATAAGTATGTTAAGTATTAATTAAAGCAAACAAAATAATATTCTTGGCATATTTTTTTAAAGTTTAGAGCACATTTATATCGAACAAATGCTTGTCCGATTATGCGATGGAGTCACTGTATATATTACAGTTCATAAAAATTTTATTACTC